CCCTATTTGACATTACAGATACTGAAAGTCACCAGTTTAACATTAACAAAATAAGGCAATTCCATAAAATAGTAGGAGGAAAGTCCTATAGGTAACCCAGATTGTAAGGTGGGGACTACCAGCCAAGCTTTTAATATGAAACCAAAAGACAAAAATGTTTATTACCTTAGCTTTATATTTCTGTTCTGGAATTACACTTTCCTTTATGTTCTGAAGTCTAATCTGTTTCAAGTCTCTTTCAATATCCTGAAAGTTTAGAGAAAAATGAAATCTATCATTTAATATTGATCAATCAGACTGTTATATTTTAACAACCCCTGGATCAAATAATGTTTGACTTCTGGATTGAATGCATGATTACTTTGAGAATAAAAATGTGCCTTTGTAAAGGATAGCTAACGATAATTCACTGAAATCTTGGGCACAGTGTCCATTAACTTAGAATAGTAATACATTTAACACTGAGATCACAATGGGTAAAGTTTATAATGTAAACAACACTTATCACTCAATATAACCTAATCTAATTCAAGAATGTGATTCTGACTACAGGATCATTCCCTTAAGGAATGAGGAACACAGGAAAAGTGCACAGCTCTTGAGAACATAAAGGAAGGCGTGGACTTTAAAAACTGATGGGCAATTGAGGAAGAGAAGGCTGTAAATGCAGATGACATATGTGGAAGGAATTGCGGAGAGGTGAACTTCAGCACTGAGCTTACTCAGGTGTCAGTCCTGGGCCCTCTGTCTCCACTTCCTCAATAGAAGATGGTCTCAGTCATCCCTACGGATTTAAATGCCATCTTCACGCAATGACTCTTAACCATGTACCTTCAGGCTTGCTCTCTCCCCCTCTGCGGTGAGACACAATATATATTCAACTGCCTACTTGGCATCATCTTCACTTTAATATTCATTCCACAAATTCATATTGAGCAGCCACTGAGGGCCAGATGCTGTCCTACAAGTGTACTCACACTGTGATTGTGACCAAAAGGTCCCTGCTGACATGGAACTTCTATTTACTTCTATTTACAATTCCTTCCACACATGTCATCTGCATTTAGGTAACAACAGAGTTAAACGAATGACATAATTTCAGAAAGTGCTAAGTGCTATGAAAGAAATAAAATAGGAGAATAGCATGGAAAATGATAGAAGTTGAGAGTAATACAGATTTATTTGGCATTTGACTAAGCCCTGCAATGATGTGGACCTTGGCAGAGCCAGTTGGGAAAAGAGTGTTCCACACAGTGGCTGCAGCAGGAGGAAGGCCCAAAAGCAGGTAAGCAATCGCTCAGATTTTCTTTAACTCAACATGTCCAACGTGGAACTCTGAATTGTTCCTCCTCTGAATTTTGCTCCCCACTCTTCTCCCATCCTCTATACCGCGTCTAAGTAAATGGCATTTTCATCCCTTCCAAGCCAGAAATTTAGGAGTCTCCTTAATAGATGCAGCTATAGATAGAGGTTTCCCTCATATCCAAAGTAGAGTATTCCTATTTGGTATGATTTGGTAAGTGGTTTGGGGTCTGGGAATGCTCAAAAATGATTCCGTAGAAATAATTATGAGACAGGAAGGGTCCCAGGACAAGAACAGGACAGGATTCAGGGAAAAGAATTTTGCTGTTCCATGGGTTGGTAAACAAGAGGTTAAAAAACCTTACGACTCCAGGTCCAGACACCTGCTGCCATCAATTTCCTTGGCTCATTGTTGCTTTTTACCATTTCTGAGCTACCATTCTAGAGCTTATCAAGTTGGCAGCTATGGGAAGAAAAGGGTGCTACAGATCCGAAGAAAAGAGGCACAGACCTTGAGACCAGACTGGTTCACACTGGAGCTGCTGGGGGCACCCAGCCCCCACAGATGGTCATCGTGGAGATGGTTACCAGCCCTGCACAACCCCCGCGCTGCTGCTGCTGGGGCCCACCGCTAGCAACAATAAGTGGACTTTAGCCAAGTCTACTCTCCTTGCCTTCTCAGCCAAGAACATTTAATCCTTTGTTCTCAAACCCCATTCCTAAAACCTATATAGATCCCAAGCCCCGGTAACTCACGGAGCCACTCATGCCGAGAAAGGTCTCCCCAGAACTCTCTGTCTTGCTCTTTTGCTGATGTCACCCTCACTCTTTGCCTCACCTATGCCTGTGGAGACCTCTTTTCAGCCTGGACCAGAAGGTCTCAAGAGCTCTTTCCTCAGTTTGGGAGCAGGACCCTTAGTTCCATTCCTCTGACTCCTGGCAGGTGGGCCGTGGACAGCGGCTGGTTCACTCCCAGCTTATCTGCCTGTGTTGTCAGTGGGATCAGATTGAGTGCCCCTGGGCCTGCTCCCAGGGCAGGGGACAATAACAATGTTCCCAAACCCCAAAAATAACCTACCAAATCATACCATAGGAGCACTCTACTTTCAAGTAGCAGAAGAAAACCTATATGGAGATAGAGGAAGAGATAGACATCAATATTGTGTGGATGTGTGTGTGTGTGTGTGTATATATATATATATATATATATATATACAATTTCCTTGGCTCATTGTTTCTTTTTACCATTTCTGAGCTGCCTTTCCACAGCTTATCAAGTTGGCAGCTACAGGAAGAAAAGGGTACTATACACCAGACAAGAAGAGGCACAGACCTGAGACCAGACTGGTCTGGTCACACACACATATATTTTTGTAATGCTTTCTTCTCTCCACCATCTTATATTAGGTAACTATCATCTCCCCCTTAGAATTAATTACTGCCTCTTCTGTATTACCACAATGTCTGGATGTTCTTCACATATGGCACATGTCAGTTTGAATCATTATTAGTTGTTTGCCCTGCAACCTTGGGAAGGGTGTTTTTCTTCCTTGCAATATTATGAACTCTGAAACAAGATTGTGACTTATGTCTCACTTATATTTGTGAGGCTGGTTGTGTACTCTGGTTGTTACAATTGTAGAAGAAGTGTCATATTGCTTTTTTGTTCTTAAAATGACATGCACATCAAAGACATCTTTACAGACACATCACCCAAAGCAGTGATAGTGAAGGCAAAGATAAACAGCTGGGACTACATCAAATTAAAGAGCTTCTGCACAGCAAAAGAGACAATAACAAAAACAAAGAGAAACCCCACCAACTGGGAGAACATTTTTGCATACAACACTAATGATAAAGGACTGATCACAAAAATCTACAAAGAGCTGATGAGACTCAAACAAAACAAAGAAAATAATCCAGTCAAAAATGGGCAGAAGAGCTAAAAAGAAACTTCTCTGAAGAGGAAACGCAAATGGCCAACAGGCATATGAAAAAATGTTCAACATCACTTGTAATCAGGGAAATGCAAATCAAAACTATAATGAGATACCATCTTACACCAGTGAGAATGGCACATATTAAAAAAAACTAGCAACAACAAATGTTGCTGAGGTTGTGGAGAAAAAGGAACTCTCCGGCACTGCTGGTGGGAGTGCAAACTGGTCCAACCACTATGGAGAGCTGTGTGGAGATTTCTGGACCTACTAAACATAGAGCTTCCATATGATGCAGCAATTCCACTCCTAGGTATTTACCCAAAGGACAGAAACAGTAATTCCAAAGGGCACCTGCACCCCTATGTTTATAGCAGCACTATTTACAATAGCTAAGATATGGAAACAACCCAAATGCCCAAAAATAGATGACTGGATCAAGAAGATGTGGTACATAAAATATTAAAAAAAAATTATCTTAAACTCCCAAGCCTCATCCTTCCCACTGGGTAGAAAATTCAACCTCCATCCACTGTGAAACTCCAGCATCAAATCCTGTGAAAGTCCTGGGGGATTTCACAAAGCAAATCATTCAGGGAGCCCTTTCAGCCTTAGCTTAGCCTGGGTTCCTCTCACCTGTCCTTAGGGAGGCCCTCATGACACCTTGAAAATAAAGTTGACAGACATTCCGGAAGAAACAAACAAACAAACAAAATAGTTCTTGAGAACCATTTGATTCATTTCCCTACTCTCATCAAATATATAAGGCTGAGATGAAAGAGAAGTTTACTGTCAGATTTCTGAGCAATGTGTCTGAGACTTTGACTCAAACACCATCTGGAAAGCTGAACTTTCATACACTAATGTGAGCAGTTCTCAAACTTAGCAGCACACTAAATCACCTGGGCAGCTTCTGAAAACACGATGCCTGGACACCCCCCCCACATTTGGGGAAGATCCCAAAATACTTGAGGTTTTTTCTTTACATTTCCAACATGACTGTACTGCACAGTGAGGAGTAAGTATCACCAGAGCATCTAACCATCACCTGCACAGGTGTGTCTTCCTCAGGTGCCTCTTGGTGGATGGGTAGGTTACTCTTCTTCACCAAGTAGGTTCTATGACTTACTTTTGAGTCCTCCTTTAAGACAAATTATACACAGTCAACAAGTTTGATTCTGTGTCAGTTCTGAAGGTTATTTTATGAACCTCATCCAGGGCTTGAATGGTATCTAGCAAAAAATGCGTTCCCTCCTGCTGGCTTAGGGGAGATCATGGGAGCGACTGGAAGAGTCTTTTTTTGGCCCCTTCTCATATGGCTGACTTGCTTTTCCCAGGGCTTTTCCACAGTCTCCCAGGAAATGTCTACTCTCCATCTTTCCTAGGCACAGGCTTTCCACCTTAAAAATAAGGCTGATGAGGGCACAAGCTCCTCACCACTAACCAGGCCCTCTGTGCTGGGGAAAGCCATCCTCATCCTGCCCTCCTGGTGCCCAATCCTCTGTGTGAACCTATGCCTGGCGCTGCCTCTCTAAATTCCACTCATCTTCTCAAACATGGTTTATGATCCATCTCCTCTCTCCTTCTGCTCATCCTGCTCATCTTTATTCCTCTGCATCTCCAGAGCTTGACCTTATTCAGTCTTATTCGATCACTGCTACGTGTGTGTGTGTCTTATTTTTCCAGCTCTTTATGGACAGCAGCACATATGTGAGAAAGAATGGAGCTTTTTGAATCAGGTATTTATTTAGCCTGCCTCATAATATCTAAATGACTTTGGATGAGTTACTTAACAGCTGTTATGAGGACTACATGGGGTAAAATATGTGAAAACTCTAGTTCAGATACTGGTCCTTACCACTGAATTATGCCATATGTTCATTTCTCCTGTGTTAACTCATCTATTTGCTCATCTCTATTGCTCAGGGCAGGGGGAGAGAGAGAAGGACCCATTTTGGAGTGTGGATGGTTCTACTCAATGAGTGTGTCACTCCAGTATATCTGAAGTGAGAGGCCAGCTATGCCCTGGGCCAGTGTCATTGTCCACAAGACTCTGATAGGAGGCACATTCCAGGCCTCTGGAGAAATTTCTTGTATTTAAATATCTAGTGTTTTTCACACAACATGGTCTCCAAATAATAGCTATTTCATCTGGATCTTCACTGATGAATCAGGTTGCTGAGAGATGGAAGAATGTGTGTCCAACATGGCACCTTTAATAGATTTTTAAGAATCATCTCAACTCAAAGTTTGCCTTATAGATTTTTGAAACTAACCCCTGTATTTAAGACTATTTCATTATAGCTGAATTCAATAAATGCTAGTCTTTCCTCCTATCTTATGGGTATGAACTTGCTCTTTCTACATCTAATTCAGTTCTGGTGCAAAGTAGCTGCTCACATGACTGAAATGAGGAAGACAATCAGCCATTCCTGGGAATCTCAGATAACTTCATTATCTTGAGTAGTCTCAGGTCAACCCAAATAATAAAGCTTCAACTCGATCTAACAACTTTTCTATCAAAAAAAGTTCATCAGATAAAATTTAATTTTTCCTATGAGATCAATGTTATCAATATCTGCTCAGCTTAGTTATCTCTAAAGCAATAAGACAATGTTTCCTTTAGAAGAATGAATTTATTTACCTCCAGTTCATTCCCCATCCTCTTTCGGATTTCCTTTATATCTTTGTGATACTGCTGGCGGATTTCCTCTAACTGCTTCCAATATTCCTAGAAAGCAATCCCAACACAAGCATTTTTAATTTTTTGGTGAACTGAACAAAATAATGTCTTCATTGCCTATGATTTTTAAAATATGTGATAAACAGCAGGAATCAAAAAACATATTGCTCCTGAGGATGACAATCTGCCTTATATTTTGGCTGTGATCATTCATCCCTGAGAGGGATATGGTAGCTTATGGTGACCACACTTACATATAAAACCCAAATGTGTTTATGAATTGATAGAGTCCCCTTTTTATATATAGTCCTGTAATTGATGGAATTTTGACCCTTCAAAAAACATATGTTGGAGTCCTAACCTCTAGTATCTTCGAATGTGAACTTATTTGGAGATAATGATATTGCAGATGCAATTAGTTGGAGTATAAAAGTCCCTAATGCAGTATGATGGGTGTCCCTTTAAGAAGACAGCTGCGTGAAGAGGGATAGGGAGAAGGCCATGGCAGAGAATGCAGCCAGAGAGCTGCCAGCCCAGGAATGCCATTTTGCCTACAAAGCAGCAGAAGCTAGAAAGAGGCAGGGAAGGGATTCCCCTACAGGTTTCAGAAAGAGCACAGCCCTGTTAACACTTTGATTTTGGACTTACAGCTTCCAGAACTGTGAAACAAGAAATTTCTGTTGTTTTAAACCACCCAGTTTGTTGTAACTTGCTAAGGCAGCCCCAGGGAATGACTACAACTTTCAAAAATGTTAATGATGGACCTTATCAACCCAAGATAAAAGCCTATGAGCTACATTGCATTCTCTAAGAGGGTAAGATACATGGCTCTCTATCCCCTGGAAGTGCCAACATGAGTGTGTCCATCAAGTATTTGTGCAACCAAGGTTTCAGGCACAAAGTAGAAAATAAATGTCACACTATATTATGGTACAAAAGACAACAGAGGTACAGTGACAGCCATGGACTGATGTTGTTAACCTGTTCCTTCATTTCATTTCTCCTGAGCTGCAGCTCCTGGAATCTAGGCTCGTCTTTATTACTTCTCCGGTTGTGACATGGCTCAGCAGAAGATGGACGAAGACCCTATTATTTGAATAAGATAATTTATAAAGCATACTTGCATTTTGGAAACATCTCATTTGACCTTGTCTTTTTCCTTTATTTTTTATTATTTTAAATTTTTTATTTTAATTTTTGGGATTACATGTTTGCTCTTCCATATGAATAACTTCCACTCACCCTCCACCAAACCACCAGTGTTCATAGAATTTTTCATGTCAACAAGAATTATATCACCAATCAAACTCCGTATTTTTGTAATGAGTCATAGTTTTCTTAAGTATTAAAAGAGAAAGAGAATTACTAAAACTAATTGTGTTTATCCCAAGCAATCAATATACTATCATGAAAGATACTAGATTCATTTTCTGAACTGGTAAATTATAATTGCGAAATTAAAGGTCTAAAGGCCTCCCTGGTGGTGCAGGTGGTTGAGCGCAGCACTGTGAGGCTGTCTGCAGCCTCTGCAGTGCCGGTTCGATCCCTGCCAGCCGCAGAGCAACCCACATGGCGCGCCAGACCTCTCCTGTCTTGCCCGCTACTCCCCTCAGCAATGTATTTCAGTCATTCTGCTTGTTCTGTTCCCCGCTCTGTCTCTGGTGAATCCTCTCACCCTCCTGCACCTCTGGCCTGTACCCTGGTTCTTGCATAAATAAAATAAAAATAAATCTTTTAAAAAAAGAAATTAAAGTTCTATAAAGGTTTGGCAACCCCTGAAGTATAAAATTAGGTAGGGAAATAGAACTGGAGCTTTTGAGTAGTTCAAAATATGACACAAATGAATGAGATACACACCTAATCTCCCTCAGCCAAAAAAGTTTTCCTACCCCCATTCAAAAATTTCAACTCTGTACTTAAAGGTAAGTATAACTTTCATTTCTAATCAAGTGTAATAATCTCTTTTTTTAAAAAAAATGTGTAGAATTCTAATAAAATAGAATCAAAGAACTGCAGAGGACCTCGAAACTCACCTACTGCAAAACCGTCATTTATCAAAATGAAATTTAGGCTTAGAAAGTTTGCAAGGTCTGCTTAAGGCCACACAGTGAATGACAGTAGCCCCATACTTCCCAGACTCTGATTCAAGCCTATTCCCATTATTCTCTTTTAGCTTAAAAATTGGGGAAATGCAAGGGCCTCCCTGGTGGTCTAGGGGTTAAGTCTCAGCACTATCACCACTATGACCTGAGTTTGACCCCCTGCCAGGGAGCTAACCTACTGCCAAGGAGCTAACCTACAGCAGACCTCTCCCATCCACTGCTCCCCTTAGAGTGTATTTCAGTAAATCCACCTGTTCTGCTTCCCACTCCACCTCTGGTAAATTCTTCAATGCCCCACACCACTGGCCTACACCCCAGTTCTATGCAAAATAAGTAAGTGTTTAAAAAATGGGGAAATGTGCAGGGCAGTCTTGATCTTCCATGAAGGATAACATTAGCTGTACAGATCCATGAGTATCGGTGAAGAGAGAGACAATTAGAAAATTCCTGATTGTCTCCCATCTTTGGTGTTTTACTTACCAGCTGTTTTTCCACTTTCAACTTATATTGCTGAGCTTCAAATTTCCTATGAAGATATTCAGCAGGCCTTAAGAAATAAAAATATTCAGCCTGAGTAGAAATTTTAAGTAGTCTGAGGCACTGGTTTCGCAAGTAAATTTTCAGCTTAGTATACGTGGCTTGAAGTTGTAAATCTGAGTAGTTCAGAGTTACACAATGTGTACCGTGGAAAAGAAAATCTTTAGGATCGAGAAGAAAAGGAGACAAAGAGAACAGTAATGACAGGAAATACAGGAGACTATAAAACAGGAAAATATTCTGATCCAAGATTTTCTAGGTTATGTTGAAGGGAGAAAACAAGCCCACGCCAGGATCTTCTCATACTTTGGTGGGTACCTAATCCACAGCTTCGTCATCCCAAGACTGGAGGGTGCTTGTCTGTCTCCTGCATCACACACTGAGCAACTTGAGCTGCTGACCCATCCCTTCACCTCTACTCCTTATGCTGCTCCAAATGTTTAGTGAATCAAGAGCTGAGGACTTAACTGTCTCTCATAATGTTTAAGGCATTTCTCCAGCATAATTCTGGTCAAAGTATTTTCAGGTTTATAGATATGTTCCACATAGTTATCTTTTTTGCAGCATTTCCTACAAAGAATTTCTGTAATTTCTGATGGCTAAATAATAGCAACCACATTTTACATCACAGCATGTACAGTGATAAAGTTCTGTGGAATCACAGTACCTTCTAGGGCTCCAGAGACAAAACTATCACTTCAGAAGTTACTCCTACAAGAGCAACAAGATGAGTAGACCCCAGTTTTTGAAGAGTCAAGTTGATAAGTCAGTCGTTTAGAAATATGATGAAATGACAAACTAGTTATAGTCTCTGGGCCTTCCTTCCTCATCTATAAAACAGGAACAATACCTCACAGAGGTTGATGTGAGGATTAGATCAGATTAGGTCTGTGATTACAGACTTACTATTGATTAGTACTAATATTAAAAACCTCTTTGGAAAATGATACATATATAACTATTTTCATCACTCCCACAGAATGGAATGTACTAGAAGAATGAAAAATATTAAAAACTGATGAGTTTGAATCTGTGTCCACAATTACATGGTTGCATAAATTAGAAGAAAAGCTACATCAGACCTGAAATAGAAAGGGGTCAAGGGAACCATGAATCAAGTAATTACAATAAAGATTTTGGAAGTTCTTCTTGGATTATTGTTCTGTTGGATTATTGTTGAAAGGATTTCAGAATGAATGAAGACATAGAAAGACATTTTCAGAAAAACAAAGTTGAAGTTAGAGGATGATATTACCATTGACATGGTGATGGGGTGTGACTCTCTTCCTGATTATAATTCTCCTCAGATCCAGCATCTTTTTGAGGAACAAAGCAGTGGCTTGGTGCTTGGGCTCTCTGCCTCAATAGGTCAAGTTGAGCATAATAATAATCATAATGTCCACACACTGCAGCAAGTTTGGGTCTTTCCACCATTTTTATCTGGAGGATTCAGAAAAAGAGAGGAGGTTTTTAAAATTCATATGCTAGAGTTTATTTGGATATTGGAACACACAAAATGGAGGCCTCCCAAAACACTCATCCCATACCACAGATATGAGTTGGCTTGCACTTACCAGAGATGCCTCATTGTCAAGGAAACCTAGAAAACACCAATCCTAATCCTCCACCTCAGATTTGATCAGTTTACCTTAGCCTAGAAAATAGGAGCTGCTGTCCTTTTAAGGGACTCCCTGATCATTATCCCGTTTCCAAGTGGCTTCTTCGCATATCCTATAAAACTTGCTCTTGCCCCAAATCCCTCGAGAACAGTGTTGCACTGCTTGGGAGACACTGGCCTCCCCCAATGCATGGATTGACATCAAGCTTACTACTAATTTGTTTTAGTTTTGTCATTTGACATATAATACAAATCTCTCATTGACAGTTTGATAATGACCTTATCTAAGATAGAGTATTAAAGGCATATTATTGGTTTTGCTCCAGATTTGATTTTGAGTAAAATCATCTTAGAAACAGCAAATCCTAGAGCAGAAAAGAGTTTAGAAGCCTAGGGTGTGTAGTATTTTGCTGATTATGAATCACGTGTTTTTCATGCCAGTGTATCAAAAATACTGACTAGTGATCGTGCCTGGCCAACTCAACCTGAAAGACTCTCAGTATTATTGTTTTTGTAATTTTCATGAACTTAATTTACACCTTAAAGGAGAATTCACACCTTTATAGGAGAATAAATGCTGTGCAACTCACAAATTTGGGAATTTGCAACATGTTTATATTTAATAAATTGAATACAAAATGGCATCAAGCTTGAAAAAAAATAAAAGATTATGAGCCAGTTAAGAGTTATTCTTCTGGAGTAAAATCAGGCAGACTGCCATCCCAAGGTACACATACACCCAACCAGAACACAATTAGAGGAGAACCAGAAACAACTGTTTATTTTATTTTTTTTTTTTATTTTATAGAGCGCTTATTTATTTGTTGCTTTGTTTATACATGCACTGGTACAGTCAGAAGGGCGGGAGGGTGAGAGAATTCACCAGAGCCAGAGCGGGAGCAGAGCAGGCAGAAGGACCGAAGTACACTGCTGAGGGAGCACAGGAACATGTGGGACCTCCTCTGGTGGCCGGGGAGCAGCATCGAAGCGCCGCAGAGCGCAGCTTCGCAACCCAGCGCTCAACGCTGCGCCACCGGGGAGAACAACTGTTTATTTTAGAGCTGAGTAAAGACCACTGAGTTAGAAGGCGAGAATGGCCAAATAACATAGGAAAGCCAGTCAAAATTCTGCAGAATTAAAAAGTAATCCTGCAGAATTTAACTATAATTCTGCAAAATAGTCCTGCAGAATTTAACTCTAATCCTGACAACTCTGCCTTCATAACAGTTGATAGATAACAAAAGGGGGAAAGATCAAGTCTATTGGAAAGACCTCAAAGTTGAAATATGAATAATCAAACAAAAGGTTAAAATGGAAATTTCCTCACTGTAGAGAAGTAACATGCTATATTCTTTGTCCTTTTTAATGCTACCAGGGTCAAAATATATGTAATTGTAGCGATTTGGCCATTTTTAACTTACAAAAATGGCATTTTTAATACAGATCTATTTAAATATTAAAGTGACTGTATAAAATTTGGTTGGTTAGTCTAAACATAAAATATATAATTGTGTTTTTAAATATTTTAAAGTGTGAAAACTAAGTTTTTCTTAGTTTCATAATTTTACTTTAAACTATCCAAACATTAGAAGGGACTACTAATTACTTGTTGAAAACAGAGAAAAGTTTCAGAAGGAAACAAATAGCTTCTTTCAGATTTTAAAATCCCAAATGGTAATGAGAACATTAGAGGTGGTTCCTATGAAAATGTTACTGAGACAGGGGGGCCTCCCTATTGGCTCAAGGGGTTAAGATGCAACCTGTGAAGCTATTCGCAGCCACTGCAGCACGAGTTCGATCCCTGGGCAAGGAGTTACCCACATGGCACAGCAGATCTCTCCTGTCTCACCCGCTGCTCCCCTCAGCAGTGCATTTCAGTACATCTGCCTGTTCTGCTCCCCACTCTGTCTCTGGTGAATCCTCTCCCCCCCCATACATCTGGCCTGTACCCCAGTTCTTGTATGCATAAATAAATAAATCTTTTAAAAAAGAAAATGTTGCTGAGACATCTCCCTAAAAGGGAAGGGTAACATGTTTCCCAACCCCACTTAATGAGGGGAGAGGCCTGGTGAAGCTATTTAACAGGGAAGACAGGTGGGCTCATAAAAGAGGGGAGGGCTCTTGTACTATGCCTTATAGTAGTGCTGAAAGGAGAGATGGAAGTAGACACATGGAGGAGAAACATGTAGAGACACTTGAAAGAGCCATTCTCTTGGTTTGTTCTCTGATTTTGCTCCTTTCACCCCAGCCTTGACAGGACCCTTGTGCCTTCTTCCTCTGGGTCCCCACCAGAAGGTGCCATGGACTAGTGGCAAGGTTTGGGTCTCAGCAGTTCTGCTTCAGAACCACCTTGTTTGGCTAGTTATTTACCCGTGAGGGGATGTATAATTTCATATGTCTTATTAGGAAGAATATACTTTCTTCTCTTCTCTCTCTATGCACACTAATTCTACCTAAAATCTTTCACACTAAAATTGTCCTTTGCCTTTGTGCGCATGTATGGCCAGATCCTTTTAGAACTTGCAAGCTCGGGGGTCCCAGAGTGACCCTTGGTCAAGCTGTAACAAGAGAGCTAATTTTAAAAAAGACAACCCATTCAAAAAATGGGACAAAATTCCTAAATAGTACTTTCTAAAGAAGACATTCAGATGGCCTACAGGCTCATTAAAAATATTCAACATCTGGGCCTCCCTGGTGGCACAGCGGGTTGAGCGCAGCGCTGTGAGGCTGTCCGCAGACTCTGCGTCGCCAGTTCGATTCCTGGCCAGCCAGGGAGATTCCCACATGGTGCAGCAGCCTCTCCTATCTCACCCGCTGCTCCCCTCAGCAGTGTATTTCGGTCCTTCTGCCTATTCTGCTCCCTGATCTGTATCTGGTGAATTCTCTCACCCTCCCACACCTCTGGCCTGAACCCCAGTGCTTGCATAAATAAATCAATCTTTAAAAAAAAACTATTTAGAAAAAAAAGTTCAACATAATGTATTACAAGGAAAATGAAGCAAAACCACAATGAGATATCACCTCACCCCTGTGAGAATGGCCAATATAAAAAGACTAGAAACAACAAATGCTGTGAAGAATGTGAAGAACAAAGTCATCCACTGTTGGTGGAAATGCAATCTGGTGCAGTCTTTATGGAAAATGGTATGCAGATACCTTTAAAAAAATGACAATGGACATCCCAGTGATCTAGCACTACCTCTACATCTATCCAAAGAATATGAAAACACTAATAGAAAAGGATTTATGAACTCCTGCATTCATAGCAGCACTTCCACAACTGCCAAGTCATGAAACCAACTTAAGAATTGAACAACGGATGACTAGATTAAGAAATTGTGGAATATATATTCAATGGAATACTACTGAGCTACTTAAAAGATGAAATAGTACCTTATGGGACAAAATTAATGGACTTGGAGGTGATTATGCTAATGAAATAAATCAGAGACTGATGGTTTCACTCATCTGTGAAATATGAATAACCGAAAGACATACACTGGCAAAGCAGAGCAAAAACAGTTATTAGACTCTGTGAAAAAATATACTGGTTACCAGAGTAACTGGGGGGAGGAGGAAAGGAAATAGAGGAAGGATGGGGTAGTGCATTGGCATAGGAGGTTTGGTGGAGGGTGAGTGAAGCATGTGCACTTATGTAGAAGTAAAAATGTAACCCCAAAGTTATACAGAGATGAAAAGGACTAATTTTTAAGAAATACAATTCTTCCATTAAAAAAAATCCATGTTATTATATATATTATCAGAGCATTTTACTTGCGTGAACTAAAAGATTTAGCACTCTGCTAAAATGGATTCAAATAACTCAGCAGAAAGATTTTTCTAGGAAAAAAAATCAATGATTATATAATAAAAATTTCCCACGTTTTCTGCTACTATGCTATAAAGTTCTCCTATATAGAAAAATCTTCTTCAGCTAAAGAAATTGGAAGAATTTGATTATAAAACTAAAACTCAGGCATAACATACTTGCAAGAAAATACAGCACTGCTTTTAAAAATATAATGAAAAGTTGTCCAACAAAATACCACTTTAATGCTCATTACAGAATGATTTTAAGTACAAAATGAGTGGATTCCAGAGTCATGAGCTTATAGCCATGAACATGTGAGCGCAGGTCTGTGGAAGACACTATCAGCTTATAAACAAGAGGGAGGGTTTCATCCAACTTACAAATACGGGTTTCTGAGCGCCAGTGGGTGGTCTCCATTCCTTTCTATGTAATATATCCTTCCTTTGAACTGGTACAGATATCCTTGATCTTGGTAGGCACTTTCCCTGGAATCTCACCTTCTGTTTATTAGAATCTTATTTAACCGAAATAAAACAATGTAAGTTTTAAGAAATTTCCACAACTTTACACTGCAAAATTATGCATTTTCTTTGAATGGAGACAACCTTTTACTGCAAAGTTCCTTTGTATATGTCTAGTAATACATAACACTACTTTAAAATAATTTTAGTAATTAGCATTAATTTCAACAGAAACAACATAATTAGGGAAATTAAATGTAATAATCAGGGCTTGAGTAATCAGGCCACACCATTCACATCACATTATTGCTTGAAATGTATGAGTGGGTCTTCTAAGATGTTTTTTTGTCACCATCAAAATTTGTTCTTGTTTTCCAATCTTTCCTATGTTTGGATGGTGCACTTTCTCTCATCCTTTATTTTTATCTATTTTATCTATTTTCTAAACACACCCAACCTAGAATAATATACAACAATGCCAAATCAAATTAAACATGGCAAAAAGGCTCATTTATTTTCCTTTTGTAACTTTCCTCAATTTTAATTCTCTATCACAATGGATAATATTTCTCTAGCACTGATTTCTTGGAGAGATTTTCTACTCTTCCTCATCCTTTATGTTCAGACATTTGGTTATAACTAAATTCTGCTCTTACATTCACAACATCCACTGAATTAGTAATTTTCCTTTAATCCCTCTCTCTCTCTCTCTCTCTTCACACACACACACACACACACACACAGAGAGAGACAAGACAGAGAGAGAGAGAGAGAGAGCACTTCATCAGCTGATTCCTGACACTAAAGTTGCTTCTCTAGCATCACCAACATACTATTTGTCATTACCATACAGTAAATATCATCATCACCTTTCTTGCTTTGGAGGTAACATAGTAATGGTTCTCAAATTGTAAAAAAAAATTAGGTCCAAAATTCTAACTTTGGTTCCAATAGGTCTCTGGAAAAGAATTTTAAATTGCCAGTTCATTTTCTCTATTTCAAAAAAATAAACTCATCTCATCAACCCACGTCTATAAACCTTCTTTTCTCACAATCCCTCCTCTACACAAAAGTTAATTTTGTATTCTACCTCTTCAAGCATCTGTTTAATTGATAAACCCCACTGTTTCGTGGTTTTCCTGATAATGGGAAGAAAAAGAAGAATCCTCCAGGTCATATATGAGCTCCATAGACAGCATCTCAGGCATGCCCACTAGATTTTTTTTTATAATGCTCATATTTTTTAACACCCATATTCAAACCTCTTGGTGCAATTTCTTCCCTAAAGTCATTAGCCACATGTAACTCACTATATGAGCACATGATATAAGTGGTTTTGGGATGATGAACTCATTCTCTTTTTTTTTTTTTTTTTTTAAGATTTATTTATTTATTTATACAAGCACTGGGTACAGTCAGAAGTGCGGGAGGATGAGATAATTCACCAGAGCCAGAGGGGAGAGCAGAGCAGGCAGACTGATGAGGTACACTGCTGAGGGGAGCAGCGGGCGGCAGGAGAGGTCTGCGTGCCATGTGGGACCCTCCTCCGGTGGCCTGGGAGCAGCCGGGGATCGAACCCCGCTGCAGAGGCTGCGGGCAGCTTCGCAACCCAGCGCTCAACCACTACGCCACCGGGGAGGCCCATGAACTCATTCTTACCTGGAACCACCTTCCTAGCAGGTCGAGAAGCTGATGGTCTTGCTCCCCTTAGGAGGGTATGATTGAATTCTTCCTGAATGACCTAAAACCAAACATGTGTCAAGGACTTACTAATCAAAATCTGTCAAAATCCAAACAAGATTTGCCCAAAACTCACCTCAGGAGTCAAATACTTGGCAATAAGTTTCTCTAAAAAGGGCCTTTTCAAAATGGAATTAATAGATGGACGATCTCTGGGGGATACTTTAAAAAGCTGAGATATCAAGGACCGAAGGTCATGGGAGAACCTTGGAGATATTGGGGCAAAATGGGCTTGACAAATCTTTAGAACTAGCTGGTGTAAGTTGTCACCTGCAAACTGAAAGGACAAGGAATAATGATATTAGGTCAGAGGAAAAGTCAATTTAAAGTAAGAGCAAGAAGCAAATGATGTTTTCAACTTCAGTTAGAAGTACTATGTCCACCCTAACTTGTTTTCATCAACTAAAATTTCATAAATAGCTATTGTAGGCAGCTTCTCACCCAGATACCAGGTTATTAAAACAAGTTTTTTGTTTTAATTGTTTCTTATTATCAAATAATATTTAATTATTATAAGACATAGAAAGTTATAAATAGTCAGGAAAAATACATATCATTTCATCACCCAGAGAGATATTTCCTTCTAGTCTTTTTCAAAATAATGTTTAAAGAGTTGTAGACATAATGATGTGAAATCCAATGCCTTGATTTTTTAATTAACATAAAAACATTTCTTTAAAAATTCTTTATATCTCAGGAAATTTTCCATGGTGTGAAATCATCAGTTATTTACATATAATAGTAATGTTCAGCAGGAGAGTGTGGCAGTAGAGATACAGGTTTTAGTTAGAAAATTACTAGTTGAGTGACATTTGATGATGATGACGACGACAATGATGATGATAATGATGATGATCTAACAGCTGTGTAGACACAGCTAAGATGCTATCCTTGGAAAGCCCTGCTACAATATTGGTCTTTTGCTGACAGCTGGGAACTTAAATTTCAGGGGTGATCCCACCAGTTGCCAAATTCCCAGGGTGGCTCAGTGTGCTTAAATTGTGAGAACAATACAGTCTCTGCTTCCCGGGAGTCTGGGGGTTTTCTACATGCTAGTAGTGGGTGCCTACCTCACCAACTCTAGTTGAAGCCCTGGGCACTGGGTCTTTAATAAGCCTCCCTAGCAGGTAACACTTCACATGGACTGTCACAACTTTTTGCTTAAGGAATCAGTACATTCTGTGGGATGACACAGATGGAGGCTTTGGGAAGCTCTTGCCTGACTTCCAATAGATTTCCACACACTTTTTTTCTTTGCTAATTATATACATTCACAATTTATTTTGAAGGAAAATATGCTATGCATACTTTCTCCAACTTGGAGTTTTTATTTTATATAAGCACGAACACATTTTTGTGTCAGTATATACAATTCTATTATTATCCTAATAGCTTGCCCATATAATTTTTAACAATCTAATAAAACCAACAGTAACCATTGTCTCTCAGGAGTTAATTTCATCTATATATTTCCAATAAGTCAAGATCAATCTGACGTTGAACGTACTTACAGGATGCTTGAGTGTGCAGAGCTCATATAAGACACAGCCAAGAGACCAAATATCCCTGAGGAAGATAAGGGTTTACATGCCAAGAAAATCTCCATAATTCTCAATAAAAGCCTTTGTCCTTACAGCACCTTATATTGTGTAGATTTACAACTTTATATAGGTTGACCTGTGTTTTCAGATATTTTATCAGATACAGATCAAAAACATTTTCAGATACATTATCAATTCTTACTAAGATCGCAGGTAAATGCAACTTGTAGTTTGTCAGAATCCTAGCAGAGAAAAAGTATGCTGACTTTGCCACAATCTGACAACTCAATATTTACTTCAGCTTCATGTGCTCAAAGCAAACTGGAGTGTGCATGGAACTTTTTGAGCAATTTGGAGGAAGGAGGCAAGAAAAAGCAGTTTTGATTTGATTCAAAAGGTAAAATTTGGTTGATTTTAAAATGTATATTCTACTCAAGGCTCTTGACAGAACTAAAGTTACATTAAGTGATGAGCACTGTATTTGGTATTCAACAAACACCTGAGAATGGTGCTTATCATCTAGACCTGGAGACTAGCTTGCTCTTTAGTACTTAATAGTCATATGTGATTGGCTTAATAAGGAGTTATCTTACAGAACAAAAAAGCATAATCACATACAAAATAACAAAAAAATACAATGAGAGGTCAAGGAGATAAGAAGATGGTCAAAGAAGAACCAAGTTTGGTGAGGTAAATGCCGCCACTATTTAGCAACACTTCTACTGAGAATGAAGAAACTTCTAAGTGGTTTCTAAAGTTTTTAGAAACTTACTGACCGTGATCCCATCAGAATCTGTCCTTACTATCATTTCTCTTCATGGAAACTCCTCTTCAGCCCCAGATAGCCCACTGCAGCCAGTGTGGTAAGGCCACACGCCTACAGTGCTCCCCAGGAATGAAACCACTAGTGGCCAAGTGGGGAGCATTTGCACATCGTGACCCCCTCTGTGTGTGGTAAACTAGAGACCTGGTTGAGTTTCTTGTCTAAAGGGGGCAGCAGCTACCCAACTGATAATTTCAATTATCAGAAGTACCAAATCAGCATATTTAAATGTTGTCTCTAATTCTTACAAAGCAGTACAAGGAAACTAGGCAAAGCTGCTGACCTAGGTTCTCAGCCTACTGCAGCTCTACTCTATTGGCCCAGCCATCCCTCCTTCACCCAGTGCTACACTGCCACTTTCCTGTTCATCCTAAAATCAAATACTCTCTGGGAGCTAAGGAATATCTCAAAAAAAAAAAAATACTGTTTTTTCATTATGCAGAGAAATATTTACTATTATTTTTATAAATCTCTACCACTAGGCTTTGCCTTTTCTTGTCATTCAGTTAAATATCCCTTCTGAGTTTTCCTTAACACATGGACAATCAATTCCCGAAAGGAACTCAGTTTTACTGCTAGACCAACTGTTTCAACTGGCCCCCACTTTTGAAAATGAAATGCTTTTCTCCTTCTTAAATGTGTTCACCAAATTAACAAATAAGTGGTGCCCTCTCCAAGGTCTCAACTAAGAGGCACAAGCCAAGAGTTAAGACAGCCAGATGTTCTTGTGAAGAAGTAGCATCAAAAACGACAACCAAAAAAAAAAAAACACTGTTGCATCTGAATAAATACGAACTTCAAAGACAGACATTAAGGTTTATGGCACTGCTAAAACTCACAGTCCCCAAAAAAGGATAGGGTAAATTTTAACAACCCTCTTTGTTTTTCTTAGTGCATAAGCAACATTAGATAGAGACATTAACTGGATTTTCCTTGCAAGAATCCTTACAAACTATATGTAATCCTCACTGAGAGATTCAGAATTGGGGCAGCTTTCCCAGAGGCATCTGGAGATTCAAGTACTTATCTTAATTGTTTAATAAACTCACTTTTATTTGCCTCAATTTTTTTAAGTCAACACATTTATTTAAGTCACAATTTATTTAAGTCAACACATAGAAGTAAAACACATAGAAGTAAAAACTACCTCATTTTTGGTGAAGGACCTATATAAAGAAAATTATCAAACACTGTTAAAAGAAATAGAAGACACAAAGAAATGGAAAGACATCCCCTGCTCATGGATTGGAAGAATTAACATTATTAAAATGGCCGTCCTGCCAAAACCAATTTACAGATTCAATGCTATTCCAATAAAAATCTCAATGACATTCTTCAAAGAAACAGAACAAATACTGATGAAATTCATATGATACTACAAAAAAACACGAATAACCAAAGCCCTACTGATGAAAACAAAGGAGAAAGGAGGTATCACACTTCCTAACTTCAAACTATACTACAAAGCCATAATAATTAAAAGTTTGGTATTGGAACAAAAACAGACAACAGACCAATGAAACTGAATAGAGAGCCCAGAAATAAAGCCACACTTATACAGACAACTAATCTTTGACAAGGAGCAAAGAATATGCAATGGAACATGGACAGTTTGTTTAATAAATACTAGACCACTACCTCTCACCGTGCACAAAAATCAACTCAAAATGGATAAAAGAACTGGACATAAGACCTGAAATCATAAAATACATAAAAGAAAATATAGGTAAAACACTATAAGACATACATCTCAGTAACATATTTAAAGACTCATCACCCAAAGCAAAAAAAGTCAAGGAAAAGATAAATACCTGGGATTATATCAAACTGAAAAGCTTCTGTATACTATTAGCCAAAACAGAGAGACACCCCACTGACTGGGAAAAAATTTTGCACTCCATACAACTGATAAGGGACTGATCACAAAGATATACAAAGAAGTCACAGGACTCAACAACAACAAAGTAAACAATCCAATGGTCTTGTGATGAAGTTGCATCAAAAACAACAACCAAAAAAACCTGTTGCATCTAAACAAATAGGAACTTCAAAGACAGACATTAAGGTTTATGGCACTGCTAAAACTCACAGTCCCCAAAAAGGATAGGGTAAATTTTAACAACCCTCTTTGTTTTTCTCAGTGCATATACAACATCAGATAGAGAGGAGAAATGGGCAGAAGAACTTAAAAAACATTTCTCCAAAGAGGAAATGCAAACAGCCAACAGGCATATGAAAAAATGTTCAACATCCCTTATATTCAGGGAAATGCAAATCAAAACCACACTGAGATACCGCCTTACACCAGTAAGAATGGCATATACACAATGGGGTGTTCCTCGGCTATCAAAGAGGATAAACTCATGCAGTTTGCAGCAGCATGGATGTAGCTGGAGGGGATCGTGCTCAGCAAAGTAGGCCAGAAGGAGACAGAAAGATATTGGATGGAATCACTCATAGCAGGAATTTAGGAAATCTAAATAAGGGACCAGGAAAAATACTAATTATAATAAAGTAAAAATCAAAATGAACAAGCAACTGTAAACCAGAGACATACTGGGGGGGGGGGGGGGGGGGGCGCGGTTTGGGAAGGGGAGAAGGGAGTAGGATCAAAACAAGGTGGGTGGGAATTGTATGGGGACTATAACCAAGATAAAAATGCATATTTTGAACTATGCATACATAGTGCAAAAATGAAAAGTAATGTAAAAAATATATAAAATAAAATAAATAAAATTTAAAAAAAGAATGGCACATATCAAAAAAACTAGCAACAACAAGTGTTGGTGAGGATGTGGTAAAAAAGGAACTCTCCTACATTGCTGGTGGGAGTGCAAACTGGTCCAACCACTTTGGAAAGCTGTCTGGAGGTTCCTCAGTCTACTAAAAATGGAGCTACCATATGACCCGGCAATTCCACTGCTAGGGATCTACCCAAAGGACACAAAAACATTGTTTCAAAAGAACACCTGTACACCTACGTTTACTGCAGCACTATTTACAATAGGTAAAACCTGGAAACAATCCAAATGCCCAAAAATAGATGACTGGATCAAGAAGATGTGGCATATATACACAATGCAATATTATTCAGCAATCAAAAAGATAAACTCATGCCATTCACAGCAAAGTGGATGGAGCTAGAAGAAATTATGCTCAGTAAAATAAGCCAGAAGGAAAAAGAAAAATATTGGATGGTTTCACTTATAGCAGGAATACAAATAAGAAATCAGTGTAAAAAATAGTAACAGTACAAAACACAGCAAAGCAAAAACAGACAATTATAAATCAGAGACATCCTGCAGGGGAGGAGGAGGGAGAGGAATCAGAGGGAGGGAGGGAGGAGCACAGGGGACTGAGGTGATGGTGCACGGGTGCACTGGTAAAGGAAACTCTATGGGGACCACACCTGAGGGGGTGGGGGGAAGCAAATACTGTTTAAAAAAAAATGATGTAAAAAAAAAAAAATTACTTATTAAAAAAAAAACAGTGAAAGCAAAAAAAAAAAAAAAAACCTACCTCATTTTCACTTCCTATCACTGTGTATATTACTATTACTCTGAGAACCAGAATCTGGCGTCACATACACAAAAATTAGTTGGTTTTAAAGCAACATGATGCCTTAATGATTATCTGGCCAACACTCTCATTGTTACATATGCAGGGGCTGGGCCCACAGAGGTCATCAGGCCTGGTCCAAGTGATAACTGAGCCAAGAGTAGGGTTTGTTGAAAGATAAACTGAAGCATATTTAAAAATGTTTAAAGTTTATATGAGCAAAAATAGATTTGAATCGTGATGTCAAACCAGAAACGGTTAAATGTTCTCTGTCACCAGAAGCATAGGAAAACGAACAGAGGAGGTGCAGAAGCAAGATAGGAAATTATCTGATCAGCTTAAGTTCAAAGCCCAGTTGGCAGTTTGCGATTGGTTGTCCTTAAATGTTTTTTATTTCTTAATCTTCGAGGCATTTGCAGGCTTGGATTTTGGTTTGGGCCACCTCCATATTAGTCTTACTCAGCCTAATGGCTTCTTGTTTAATGAAATTAACAAGCTCCTAGCTCCTAATCTAGTGCTCAGTCACCAGACCAGACTGCCTCCTACCTCACTCACCCATAACATTTTTCTGCAAAGGACGAAACAGTGCTTACAGATAGGAAAGTCATACATAAGATGGACATCATAGCACTGCAATATTTAGTGTATTCTTTCAATGACATATCTTTAAATGAGGAGAAATGTCTTTCTTCTAAATAAGTTCAAAACTTCAGGGAACAATAAAGTGGTCAGAGACAGTCATTGGGATGCCTATGTCACACATGAAGAAAATGGAATTATGAGAGTGCCATAAGAAGAAGAAAATTCTTCAGATTTTACTGAGAATTTCAAACTTATAGTAACTTACGTTTTATTGTTGTAGGGTTTATTTTGACAGATCTCTGGGGACAGGTAGTAAGGTGTGCCGACACAAGTTCTAGCAAGTTCCATAGAACTAGGGAATGATATTAAATAATTAAATGACATGGTTAATTATTGGAGTAAGTAAAGGCTTAAAACACGGCCATGCTAGGTATTAAATATAGCTAACATAATTTGAGGCAAGCATATACAAAAATAAAGTAAAACATACTGTATATTAATAATAAAGCAATAAAACTGTTTTCCAAACTTACAACTCATCTCAAAATCTACACATAAAAACTTTTTTCTTATGATTTAAAGACTCCACAGAGGTACAACTGATACATTATAAAACTTTCATATTTAAAAAGAGTTCCCTCTTTCCACTTACCAAAGTAATATGATCTCAAGATTTAAAATTAGGAAAATATGAAAGTGAATAAAGGAAAATTACCCATCGTCTTACTACCAGAAAAACTACTGCTTAAAATTCTAATATATTTATCTTTTTTCCAAGCTTACTTTTCACATAGGTAAGATCATAGTGCCTTTGAAATTCAGAATTCCTTTTTTAAGTTGTATGTTACTTGTTCTTTATTGGTGCCTATTCTAATCTTACTTTTTTATTTATACATATATATGTATATATATGTTACATCATTATTCATTTGTGTACAGTTTGCTTTCAGAATTCCGTTTTTTTAATTTATTATTTTTTCATTTTTTTCAATTTAATATAACATATTTTCTCATATTATCAAGAAGTTCTCAAAATCGTAGCTATTAGTGGCTATCTATACAATATTCGGGTACATATCTGTGCCAAATTTTATTAAATTTAACCATTTCCTAAATCACTAGACATTTAAATTATTCCAAATTTCAAATTATAAAATCTCTTGATAGTTATTACCACCAAATTGTCCTCTAAAACAGCTGGTGCCAATATATTCAAGAGTGAGTTTACCCACTTCACTAAATTCTCACTTGTTCATGCATATTACATTCACACCTCACGATCTTATCACCATCATTCACCATGCTAAGATTTAGCTTGGGAATTTGAGTCTCAAAGTACCATCTGAATAATTTGATGCATTTATACAAAGTTATCTAAAATTATTTGGAGACCAAGCTTTTAATATTTTCTTAATTCACAATACCCAAAAATACATTTTTTGACAGTCATTTATAGAAAGAAAAATGACATTTAAAAGTACTTACTTGTTTAGGACTCTTGCTATACCAAAGTCCCCAAGCTTTGCAACCATTCCATTCTTGCTAAGAAATATGTTCTATAAATGGAGAAAATACTGTATTGTTGGAGACAGTTAAAGAAAGCAAAAGAACAGTTCTGTCTTGATCTTCTCTCTGAATTGTTACCTGTGCTTTTATATCCCTGTGTAAGATCTTCCTGTCATGAATATGTTTTAGTCCTAGAGAAATCTGTACAAACCAACTCAGAATCTGTGGAGGGAAAAAAAACAAAATTAGTGAGCAGTCTGCAAACACTGAAATGTTTTCATGACAACATACAGAGAGAGAGAAATAATACATATATTTTGTGTTTGTGTGTTTTCATAGGAATGAGCTCATAGATATATGATCTTATATAATATTCTTTTGACAGAAAAATGAGGGGGCAGAAAGGCAATAGAGGTGTGTTGGCATCAAAGGAAACTCCACTTACAAGAAAAATACAAACAAAAGCGAGGGAGAGGAAAAGGCAATTCATTATTTTCTTTTTTCTTATTCAATACTAGGTTGCAAACTGTATCAGGATAGGAGAGTAGTAGTCTTGTTTCCTGACAACCCTGGTGCCCCTGGTTTTTCCTATTCAGGGGAAGGGGGTAGCAAAGCCAGGGAGAGAAAGAAGAAGCAGAGAATCTATGACTTTTTAAATTTTTTCATGGAATATTAATATATATTCATATAACATAAAAGATATTTAAAGTTTAATTTATTTCTTAGTTATGATTTTATTTTATCTTAACTGGCCTAAGACTCTTTATAACATGAGCACTATGTCTACAGAGTTTTATTAAAAGTAGTCTAAAATTTCACTGACTTTTTGTTTTTTCTTTTGTTTTTTTTTAAAGTTAATATGTTTTAGACTTTTTTTTTTCAAGATTTATTTATTTATTTATACAAGCACTGGGTACAGTCAGAAGTGCAGGAGGGTGAGAGAATTCACCAGAGCCAGAGCAGAGAATAGAACAGGCAGACTGATGAAATACACTGCTGAGGGGAGCAGCGGGCGGCAGAAGAGGTCTTCCACCCATGTGGGACCCTCACCCGGTGGCCAGGGATTGAACAGGCGCTGCAGAGGCTGCAGGTGGCTTCGCAGCCCAGCGCTCAACTGCTTCGCCACAGGGTAGGCCCTCACTGACTTTTTGGACACCAAGTTATACAGAAAGAGGAAAACAAAAGGGGAAAAGCTGCATTTTAATATACTAAAATTCAGTTATAATTTTAGTTCTTTCCCAACAAATGGAAAAGTAATTCAAAATTTTGTCGAGGAAAGTATTTCTATTAAATATGGCAAAATAACACCCAGATAGGAAGAAAAGAGGGTATCTATTAAGTATGGAGTTTAATATATAATGGAAATGAAACACAGAAAGAGCATTAATTAAATTTACAGAGGCTAGAGATAATCTTCATTCATTCATACATTCAAAAGCATACATACATTTAAAATATTCAGTTTTTTAAAAATATTCAGTTTTTTATGAGGAAATTATATGGGCATGAATACTCTTAAATGTGAAAATAGGGCCACCCTGGTGGCCTATGAGTTAAGTCTCAACCCTATCACCATAACGGCCTGAGTTCTGTGCCACATATGGCACAGCAGACCTCTCCTGTCTTGCCCGCTGCTTCCTTCAGCAGTGTATTTCAGTAAATGTGCCTGTGATAAGGGCTAGGGAGGGGGAGAACATCAAGTGAGACACTAAGCTGGCATGGTAGGAAAACTGCACACACATATTGTTTTTGGCCTGTCTGCTCTGAGTTAATTTTCCAGCCAAGGACACGTCTGGAGACGTGCAGGGAGCCAGCGCTGTCTGAAGACCAGCCTCACCACAGTGGGACAAGCCTGAGACCAGTTGTCCAGGAGGGCACTGGACATCACTATCTCCTGGCAGTAGTGAAGGACTGCTTACTGCTGAACTCTCTTTGTTCAGCTCACGATAAAAAGGCAGCTGGAGGGGGCCTCCCCTGGTGGCGCAGCGGTTGAGCGCTGGGCTGCGAGGCTGCCCGCAGCCTCTGCAGTGCCAGTACGTTCCCTGGCCACCGGGCAAGGGTCCCACAAAAAAAAAAAAAAAAAAAAAAAAAGGCAGCTGGAAATGAAATGTTAAGGCATTTTCTTTAGGTTGTTAACTCCCCGTCTTCCAGATTGCTGCCTGTCTGATTAAAATGCACTTTAAAGATTCAACGCCTGTCTCTACTTTATTGGCACTCGGTGGTGACAGGTGGCCCAAACTCTGACCTTCCAGTTACACTTGCTCTGCTCCCCACTCTGTCTCTGGTGAATCATCTCAGCCCCCACACCTATGGCTTACACCCCAGTTCTTCTATGTAAAAATAAATAAATAAAATCTTTTCCAAAAAATGTGAAAATAGCACAAAGAAACCAAAGGCAGCCTTGGGGTGAGCCTTTCCAGCAAGCAGCCAGGCCCTGATTGTGAGTCCTCTCTACACATGCACCCCCGTCTCCTTCATGAATACAATCCCCAAGAGGATCCTAACAGCGGCTCAGCATATAGAAGAAATATGTTTTTGTGCAAAAAGAAAATGGGAATTGAGGCCATTATTCTTCACCTTTTTTCTCCTCTCTCTTAATAAGCAATGAAACCGAAAAGCTATTGCTAAGAAGAGCTTCCATCCTCCACAGCAAAGTGGATAGCTATTTTAAAATAGAGTGCCAAATTGTAAAAGGAAGAAGAGAGCTACAAATATGTCATGTTTAAAATGGCTAAGGAACATCCACATTCAGATGTTTTTTAGTCATGAATATCGATCTCAGAGGCTTTCCATATGAAATGGTGCAAAAATCAGATATTGTCTTTTCTCAAACAAACTTCACTCTCAAAAAGAAATTCAACTTAATTTCAATTTCAAGTATGTTCTGGAGTAAGGACAGATCCACTATTTTATGATTTGAATTTCTCTACCAGAAAGCAGGCTTCATCAAATATGGTCTGCTACTTATAGAATTATAATTTTACTCTCCCCAATGAAATTACAAGGAAAATTAGAAGTGCTTTTACCTGGTCTTCACCAAATAGCACTCCTCGTTGTCTACTGATCCTCTTCATAAGGTCCCCTCCATCACAGTACTCCATCACAATAAACAGCCTGTTGTTCTCTGTAAGGAAAAGCATCATTCAGTCCTGGAAGGGTTTCAGATAATCATTTGCCTTTCAATCTCCAGAGAGTGGAGAATATAATTAAAAAATGCAGCATCTAAAAATTGTGGCTGTGGAGTCAAGATGGACTGGGTTCCAATCCCATCTCATCACATACATTTCTTAGCTCTGTGACTCTAGGTAAGTTATTTTAATTTCTCTCTACCTCATTAACCTCATATACAAAATGGAGATAGTAATATAGAAACTCCCACTAGTATTGTTGTAAAGATTAAATGAGTTCATTCATGTCAAATACTTTAGAACAAAGACTGTACATGAGCTTGATAAATGTTAATTATTGTTAATAATACATTCTTTTAAAATATTAGAACTGTGCCATAAAGCAGCAACAACAAATCTTCCCCACCACCCCAGGAAGAATTAATACACCATTCTTGAATTTGATTATAAACTTTTATTTATGTGGCCCTTATTCAACTATGTTGTTGAGTACAATAGATGTTCTTCTAATTGACCTCACACTGACCTACTCACAAGATTCCTTACATTGTCCATTTAAGGTTACCACTGAGGGTTACTAGATTCTTAATGAGGTCACAGTGTACATCCCCAAATATGTTTATGGCAATTATACTTGTTATTAAAATTATTAAAGTGAAAATGTATGAGTGGAAAAAGAGAGGGTTATTTCTACAAAAACTATGTTAAATGCTTGGAGAGACTCTGTAAAGTGAGTAGCTTAATAAAAATGTCTGTGACCTAAGTGTTGGATGAAACAAGTGAAAAATAATTGGAAAAGTTTTGAAAGGATTGTACCACAGAATAAATTCTTACTCCCTCTAAAAAAGAGAAATTGGAAATTATAAATTAGGGGCATAGTCTAAGTAGGAAAAACCACTCAACACTCCAATCAGTGAACTCATACTCTAAGATAAGGCCTTGGATTCATATCAAACACTTGCAAGTGATTATGCATTTATAGATTAATATTTTATGATTTCTCAATTCACTAGGTTTTTTTCCTTAATCCACCAACTACTAATTGGGATCTTGTTAGAAAAAGGGCTCTAGGACTTCCCTGGTGGCACAAGGGGTTAAGCCTCAGCACTATGAAGCTATCCACAGCCACTGCAGCACGAGTTCGATTCCCGGCCAGGGAGGTAACCCACATGGCGCCGTTCCCTCAGCAGTGTATTTCAGTCAATACGCCTGTTCTGTTCCCCACTCTGTCTCTGGTGAATCCTTTCATCCCCCCACACCTCTGGCCTTTACCCCAGTTCTTGTATGCATAAATAAATCTTTAAAAAAAAAAAAAAGAAAAAGGGCTTTACTAACTCATTTATTTTTTTTAAATAATAAATTTTATTTTTATATTCCCCATACAATTGCAACCCCCCATTCTGACCCCAATCCCTCCCCTCCTGCCCCCCACTAACTCATTTATTTTTCCTACTAGTTTATGAAGACAGAGTCCTGAAGACAGAGTCCACACTTTGTTCTTTTGTGTTAGCTGTTGAGTGGTTTCATAAAAACATTAAGGAAAACAAAACTGCATGAAACCAGGCTTATTATAAGCAAGTGTTAGTTCTTCTAGTATTTTCCCAGTAGTTACTGAATATTCACTAAATATAAATGTAAATGGCAGAATCTCTTGCCAAATATCTATCATTTGCTACCTTTTTCTTTCAAGTAGTTTAACCCAACTTTAAAGTGGTATCAACAACCTGAGAGCATCTGCCCTGGGTTGCTACTAATTTGCAATGGAGTGGTTCCTCTTTCACATAATACTTCCAATTTTCCACCTTCTTAAAGGAGACAAAACCACCTATTCATCCACAAACATTTATTAAAGACAAGTTAAGGAATGCTGTAGTAGCAATAAATAACAAATAAACTATTTAAGGAGTTGACAGTCTAGTGAGAACTGCTATAGTAAGAGTCTATACACTCCAGGGCAAAGAGAACAAGAGACAGTGAATGAGAGTCAGACTGGAGAATTCAAGGTTAAAGATGCATCCTGACATACCCTAATTATCTAGAGATGAATTCTGTTCAGAAATGTATTACGGGTAGAAGAATTAGAATATTTCTTTCAGCGCAGCCATTGAAGAGGCTGTTCCACAATGAAGGGATGGCAATGTCAGAACTATGGGAAAATCAAAATAAGGAAACTTGGGGGAAAGGGTTCTGTCTCTATGCACAATAATTTATTAAAAATCTTTCACACTAAGCGTATGCTTCCTTTGCCTTTGTGTATGCAGATGGCAGAATCCCTTTAGAGCATGCTCCCCTTAACAGTTTTGGGTCCTTGGGTACCCCTCAGTTGTATATAAATGAGAACAGAGGTGAAAAAGACCACTTTAGGATTAGGGAGTATACTCTGTGTTTAGTCTTAAAAGCATGTATAATATTTGAGAATGCAGAAGGGAGGTAAAGATATCCTAAAAAGGAACTGCAAGCATGCCAGAGGGCAGTAGTTTCTGGAATTACAAAGCTTATGGGTCACTGACCCTTAAAAAATCTTGAGGGGCACTAACATTAGGGCTACAACCTAAATTTCATTTGTAAAATATCCAATGTTTAAAAGACAACTACTATAATTAATTCATTCTAAATAGCACTTCTGAAAATTCAGGATTGTGTTGTACAGACTTTGGCATTTTCCCATCTGTTGCTATAAACCCAGAAATCTTGATATTATTACTGCCTAAATAAATTTTATAATACTTGAATTAAATTTGCTCACTTTTTCTTCTTATTTATGCCCAAAAGTAATAAAAAATAACATTGTTAATTAAATCTAAAATAACTCAGCACATATAAAATAAAATGAAAAGGAAGCATTGTATCATGGTCTAATTGAAAATATTTTTCTTTTAAACTAGCACATAATGATGTATCTTATGACTAATGGCATGCAGATTTGAAGAAATGAGGTATTACCCAATATTACCATCATTCCATAAAAATAAAGATATTTTTATGCCAAAAATAGAAAAGGGATAGGAAATCAACACAACAAATGAAGATACTTCCTGATATCACCCTTTGTTTATTGTACTCTGTCCACACTGACTTCTATCAGGATTCTGTGACAGGTCTGAGATTCTACCTACATCCAAACCTGTGCCTACTTCACGGCTGCTAGCAGAAGCCTGTGCCTACTTCATGAGACTTCCCGGACAAAGACAAAGGACTTTACTCTCTTTGCAAAAGTAGTAGACAGAGCTACATGCTTCTGCTGGTTCTCTGTGTCCCTCAAAGCCTAGATGGACATTTGCATAGGCAATGGCTTATCTTACAGGAGAGGAAAACTAAAATTGGGGAATCAACCACTTTCATAATGAACAGTAAACAAGCCTGGTTTCTTGTCTTCAAGGAGATGTTACCACATCCTTCAAAGTTGTTCACTGCAAACACAATCCGGAGAAACAGCCTGGGTAGCTAGCAGCCAGGCTCTTGCCTCATGACATATCCAGCAAAAATATGCAGGATGCTCAGGGCTTATGGAGTTTTGCCTTTCCTAATGGTCTCCATTAACACATTAGGCCTGCTCTTGCCTCATGCCATAGCAGCAGGTATTCTTGCCTAGAATGCTCTCGTCCAGATACTAGCAACATTCTTCAAATCTTAGGTCAAATATTACCTTCACATGACCACCCTATTTAAAATTGCTCCCTCTACTCCTGCCTCACTGTATTTTATTTTCCCCATAGCACTTATCACATTCTAACATGCTATATAATGTACTTATTACTTATGCTTGCATTTATCATGTGTCCATCCCACCCTTTCCCCTAGAATGTAAAATTCACAGTTGTAGCAGGCAGATTCTGGGACTAGTGCGCACACCTTGTATAACTAACTCCCTTCCCCTGAGTATAGAGCCCAGATATGATGGGATGTTATTTCCATGATTATGTTGTATGACATAGCAAAGGGGATTTTGCTGACACGATTAAGGTTACTAATCAGCTGACTCTGAATTTATAGAAAAGGAGATTATCCAAGCGGGTCTGACTAATCACATGAACCACTGAAATCTGGGCCTAGAGGTCAAAGACAGAGAAATGATAGATTTCAAGTGAGAAACAGAATTGAAGGAGCCTTATGGCATAGAAGGGAATTTGACTTCTAGAAGCAGAGAACTACCCCCAGTTAGCAACCAGCAAGAAAGCAGAAACCTGAGTCCTACAAGTGCAGCTAAATTAATTCTGCCAACACCCTGAATAAGCATGGAAGAGAACTGTGAGCACAGATGAGACATCAGGCCAGCTGATGCCTTGATCTGAGCAGATAATGCAGCTAAGTCAAGGCTACACATTTGACCTAGGAAGCTGGGAAAAGATAAAAAGATGTTGGTTTAAGCAACTGAACTTGAGGTCATCTGCTAAATGATGACCTCAGGAAAAAAACAAATACAACAGCATAGGGATCTTTGCCTATTTTGTTCACTGAGAGAGCCCCAAGACCTAGAACATGTCTAGCATTGGATAAACACTGATGGAAGGAATTTAAGTTCAATTATTTTAGCTGTAAGAAAATCTCACTACTTATTTTTCATGTCGCTTCAAACCTATGAGACTTCACACTTACCATTAACAAATATTCAGTAAACTAGAGCACTTTAGCTCTTTGGTTTGGACATAAGTTGTTTGTATTTAAACAAAGGTTTTATCTGTACTGCCAGGTGCTACAAGGTCCTGAGGCTCTCAGGTAAGCTTGGTGTTTCAAGTCCCAACAATCTGTGAATTCAAAGCCATAACAATGACCCTAATTTTCCTAAGCAAGGGTGTTTTACTTAAAACAAAATGCCACCCTAAGAAAATTTACAATATAAATAATTTACTGCAAGTTATTTATAACAGTGTTCAGCATAAAGTGTTGTCAAATATCCATTTTCAGTCTAATCAAGTAGTCTAATTCACACACTCATTCAGCCAATATGTGTTGAATACCGAATATGTGCTAGATGCTGATGATCAAGTGGTG